GAGATACAACAGCAATAAATCATTTTTGCATTGTTTCATTTCAAGCAGCAAAAAATTTCTGTCAATCTTAAGAGATATCAAATTTGATCTTAAGAGATATCAAATTTGATCTTAAGAGATATCAAAAAAATGTTCATTTCGATTCAGAATTACGGTTATTGCGTTAATTGGGCAGTTTGAGGGATTTCCAAGAAGGTGATCTTTAGTGATATCAGCTAATTTTGAGGAACACGGAGAAATGAAGCAAAAGTAAAGAGAAGGTGAGTTGAAAACAGGAAAAAGTGCGAACAACGAGAATGACCGATCGTTACCGCTGGGGATTAAGTGTCATAAAAGGTGACTGTCAATGAATTGCTCTTGCTAAATGAAAAATGAAAATTATCGAAATTTACCACACTCCATCGATCTCGAAGTAGTTTGAAGAAGATATGCTCTCGACATCCAGTTCGACCAGGCAGAAGTTGATCAAAATACGATCGCTGCCATCTGGGATTTTTACCCTTCAGCCAAATGCACGGTCCCCACGGTGTCCACTCAGCGCAGTTTGGTGCCTGTGTTGCGGTGCCGAACATTGCCGCAACTTGAGCCTCTGGAAAGATCGAAACTGTGGTTTAGTCCACAATCATTCCCAGGCATTTTCGAAAAAATGAGTGATTCTCATCCGGATTTCAGATGAACAGTTTGAAATTTGTGGGATTCGAATCGTTCAAATTTGAAAATGCAAATTCTTCAAGATGAAAGTTCGCCGTCAACTGATCATAAAAAATTCCACTCCTCTCCATTCTACTCAAAATTATGAGGCCTTAAAAATGCGTTTGATTATTCCCATGCCTCTTACAAGATAATTTGCTATTTTGAACTTGCGAGCAGCTGTTAGTTCAGTGAGCTCACAAAAAAAATCTTTGAGATACAGTGCTTTGCGAAGGCAATGAAGCAAAAATCATGAAAAATCTGATGCCTACCAGTATGAAAGACATGGAAAATAAGCAGCAAGAATAGGGTTGACAAGTTGATGCTAAGCATGGATTTTGAATTGGATTATTTGGGATGTTATCGATGAGAACTCGTGATAGTGATAATATAACAAACGAATCTGATCAAATAATCAATTGGTGGAACACTAAATTCCAACATCCTTCAATCGTCATTCATTTGTACGCTGTTTTACGAAGGCGGTCTTATGAAAATTTAGGTCGATTTGATTACAGCAGATACTAATTGGATGATTTCGAATCATAAACTTGATATGTCGAATAATCACCGCACAACAATCATAATCAAAGTGGACAATCATTATTATACAATCTTATCGTTTTGAAAACT